CCCTCCGGGCTCAGCCGAGGCCCAGGGCGGCTTCTGACGGCCCCGGGCCCACCGCCACCTACCCGCGGCCATCGCCTCCCTCCCGAGCTTCGCGCCGCCCCCTACAGGCCGCGGGGACCCGTCCGGGCTCGGGTCGCCGTCCCAGGCCGGGTCAGCGGTCCCAGGTCGGACCCCACCGCCAACTGTCAGTCATCCGAAGCCATCCCCATCCCGAGGGCACAGCGTGCACGCGGGTCGCGGGCGGACTGACGGTTCTGGGGCCGTGGGCTTGGCCGCTGCACCTCGTGTCCAGCCTCAACCCGGCACTCGGAACCCGGTCCCTTCCCACCCAGCTCCCGCTGGGCTTCCTCGGTGGAGCAGACCCATTCTATGTGTAGAAAAGATCCCCCTTGCGCGTCCTTGGACTGCCAAACTCAGTGGACATGACTGGTTGCCAGGATCTGGGGTTGGGGTGGGATGGCTGGCAGGCATTGAGAGGTGGAAGTCATCTGCAGAGTTTATTCGGTGCCTCTGGGTTGTCCCAGGGGTCTATCACTGTAGTCCCATCCTGTCGTGTCCTTCCTAATCCTGCCTCCAAGGATGCTTGCTTGTCCAGCCCCTCGTGGGTACCATCCAAATCAGGCACATCTTTTGGGACAGAATCAAAAACCAGTAATGAACGTACCGTTCCCACATGCAAATACTTTCCCTAAACCTCCATTCCTGGAGCCAAGGAAGAGGGCAGGACCGTTATACAGCCTAACAGAAGCACTAAGCAGAGCGGCAGGACCACAGCACTGGGTGGTACCAGAGGCTCCACCCACCTCTCCATCCCAGGTACCCTGAGGGCCAGCCTCATGCCTGGCTCTGGCACCCCAGTTTTTCTCTCACTGTGCATTTCCTTTTCGTTTCCCCAGGCACAGAAGACATTGAGAGCCCACGAGGACTGAACTTAGAGACTTTGCCCTCATTAGCATGATGTGGTAGCAAATTGCCAAGAGGCCTCTAAGGAAATAAGCTTCACCCTTGCCCCAGAAGCAACATCAAAATCCTTCCCTGTTATTCTTGGGGTGTCTTAATTCTTCTGATCCTCTGGCATGCTTTTGTAACCCACTGGACAACTCGAACTGGGCCAGTACACTCTGTGGATAGACAACCTTTGAATTGTTTTTCCGACCCACCCTTCCATGCTAACTCTTTGCCTAGTTTAACTTCAAAATCTTTTTGTCTTGTGACAGTTTTGCCGGAAAAGACTTCCAAATAATTCACTTTCTCATTTGCTTTATCAGATTTGTGGTCATAATCTCCTGTATGTTCTAAGAGAGAGGCAGCATGCAGGGGTCTTGCTGTTGAAGCTCTCTAATTCTGATGTTTTCAACAATCACCTGGAAGGTCCTGCTCCTTCTGCAGTAGACTCTAATTCTCTGCATTTTACATGTCAATAGCAGAACGCTGGGCCCAACAAAGACTCAACTCTTCCCTTGAGTGCTCTGAGCTGAGTAGGTGCTCACTGAGGGTCAAACACCCAGAATGGGTCTTTTTTGTTGTGATGGTGGTTTATAAAACTACCATCTAATTCACCTTCCTAATGCCCTCCAAAATGATCACCTATCTATTTCATTCTAGATTCCCAACAGATCATATGAACGAGATTTCGTTGAAATAAACTTGGCATTTAAATTAAAATGTTCCCCAAAGCATCTTGGCAGAGCAGTAACTAATGATGGCAGAAGTCTGTGCCAGGTTTGGATTTATCCTGGACCTAAGTGCTTGTCTCCCACAAGCCACTGCTCACACGTGTCAGAGAGGTCCTTGTTCCACCATCAGCCAAATGGTAGGTACCTTCACATGGTGACAGGAAGAGGCGTGTTCCTGTGACATGCAATTCTTGGCTCCCTCCGTGTTTCTCAAGCTCAAGTAAGACTTTTTTCTTCATCACAAACAGTGCAGTAAGCAGTTATTTCTCCTCCTTCCTGCCTCTGCAGTTACTGAGTGAGTGCTTCCCATCGCTCCTCTTCCGTGAGCAATGTTATTAAAGAAATTGTAAATATTACGCCAAAATCCTTGCTGAAGTGTTTCGTGGCATTGTAAAATTCATAGAAGTTAGAGTTAGAGCCAAAATATAGTCATTCAACAAATACTGTTAGCATTTCCTTTCGACTGATTTCAGAGCAAGCAGTAAAATATGCTCATGCCGTTGATAAATTTGCTCCTCTGGATAACCCTAGTTGATGGTGTTCATACAGTAATGGTTGAATTCTGATAAGCAATTTGTTCGTGTTTAAAGTTGTCAAATACCTTTATAATCTCATTCTAACATGCTGGCAATTCACAATTTTGTCTCTCTTAGGCCTTCTTCGCATTTCAATCACCTCAGCTTTTAATTGTTGTCATTCTTCGCTAGACTGTCTTCCATTTGTTTGCATTATTAATTTGATACCTAGGCCCTGAGCTATTCAGGGTCCCTGGCACATAATAAACTTTCAGTCTCCCCAGATAACCCTGATGCTGTTTACAGACTTCTCCCTGTCACTTACACCCTGGTAGGTTATGAATTCGGATCTGGTTTCCAGTTCACAGGCTCTAATATTACGACTCCAGATTTTTTTGACTCACTGAGCACTTGGACTCCACATTATTTTCTCCTCAATGTATTATGACAACGTTGACTTCCCATGCCCCCACTCTCATCTTATTTTCTGTGTTTCTCTAAAGATGCAGTTCAGTTTCAGGGCCTTCATATTTTACTGTTCCCCACATGCTTAATGTGAAAGCTGCCTGGAACAGAAAATATGAAATGCTTTAAGGAAGCAGCAGATTATATCAGAGTACTGGTCCATACAAGGTGCCCATTTGCTTCCTGAGTCAGTCCATGCTTTTCGTTTTCATCTATTATGCCCCTGAAACTTACATTGTGTTTATTTTATCATCCTCGTTAACAACAAGAAATATGTAATGACCCTTTCTTTTTGGGCACTCTTATGGCAAGTCAGAGCTGCCGGAAGTTCTCATTTCCGTATTCTTACTCTTCTTTGGCACTAAAGGACCTTCAACCACTTTCCTTGGATCTGTCTTCTGCAAGTACCTATGGCTGCCAAGAAACTATGCACTCAGAGAACTGCATCAATGCTTTCCAGTCAGGGAGAAGCCACGTCGTGAATTCATTAAATCTTCTCAGTGGCTATTGAATTAGGTAGCACTTTGAGGTAATCTATTAATTACTGAGGATCCGATAAAATTATTCTATTAAAAAAGTAACAATATGCCAGGTAGACTAATACAATTCACCTCAAAGGTAACTGTTGTTTATCACACTATTTTTTTTTAATTCTCCCTTATATACTTGAGTGCTTTATGTCATTATTTTATTACAGGAGTCATTGGTCATTGCAAGCACAAATGTCTGTGTGGCCTATGGGTAGTGAGAGATCTCTAGTGGATTTGTCTCATAGAGTTCTAGAATTTATAGTTTTCTACGATGTTATACTTTGCTTATAAAATACAGAGGAATATCCTGCCTGATCCATCTATGGTTTTCTAATTTTGATAGGTTCTTGACACAAGAAGCACCTCAGTGTTCTCCTGTCTCTGAGGAAGCCATGAACATACTGCTGAGTGCACTGTCGTTCAACCAGTGTGGGACAGCAGTGTGCTGTAGCGGAGACCCTTGTCAGCTGGTCCCTACTTCCATGGAGAAAGGCTGGCCCAAGCAGACAGCTTCCTCTCAAAAATTTTCCAGAGATTTGGAAATTATCCCACAAATCTGGAATATAAAACTTGCTATGTACTCAGTTGATTTTCTTAGAGATATCACAAAATGAAAAAGATTTAGGGGTGTTTATTGCTAATGTTATTATTAACATTTTTGAGACAGTCTCTCACTTACTGTAGTCCAGGCTGACCTGGAACTCACTTGTCCCAAACTCTTGGTAATCCTCCTGGGTTCTGGGATCACAGACATGAACCACCATGACCATCTTTATTCTTTGTAACATTTATGGAAAGACCTGTTTTCTCCTCTTCCACCTTCAATGGCATGATAAGCAAAAGCTTAGGGAAATCCTTCTGATTTTGAATTTTTGTGTCGTGTTAACATGACTTTTAATGGCATTGATTTCCATGAATGTTAGCAGTCAATGTCCAGTGTGCAGTGCGTTGCTCCCAGCCCACTTCCCTTCATCTACCCATCTCATACTGTCAACCTTAGAAACTTTTCATCTCTGAAACCTGAAGCTAGGGACCCACTGTCTAGCCAGAAACTTTACCATTTCATCAGACTGTGCTAGTGTGTTCTCTGCTGCTGTAATAAAAACCGTGAGCAAAAGTCACTTGAAGAAAAGGTTTAATTTACCTCACACTTCCAGGTCATGAGTCATCACTGTGTGAAGTCATGACAGGAACTCAAGGCAGAAGCTAGGAGCAGAACCCATGGAGGCACACTGCTTGCCTGCTCACTCACAGTCTTGTGCTCTGCTGGCTTTCTTATACAGCCCAGATCGATCCACTTGCCTAGGGACTGTGCCGCGGTGGGCTGGGCCCTCCCACATCAGTCATTAAACAGATAATCTCTCACAAGACACAGACACAGGCCACTCTTATTTGGGGAATTCCTAAACTGAAGCTTTCTCTCCCCCAGATGATTCTAGGTTGTGTCAAGTTGACCCTGAAAACTGAGCAGCACAAGCCCCACCCCGGATATCCCAAACCCACCTGCCAGTCAGCATGGCTGTGCATCCTCCACCCCATCCCATTCTCAGTCCCTCGGCTCTCTTACATTGTTTCCCTGCCCAGGGGGAAGGAAAATGCCCAACAGCACCAGGGACCCCACTGAGGGGCAGCAGAAGAAAGCCATATTCTCACTGGCATGCTAGTCCCTTCTTATCTTTGCCATCCACTTTGCCGATGTAGATCTCCACATAGATCTGATCACGGCCTTCTCTATGCACACTCCAAGCTGAATCAAAAAAGCTGAATCAAAAAACTGCCACTCAGCTGAATCAAAAAATGAACAAACAAAAAACCAATGTAGCCAAGCTATCTGACAGCCATGACTTTTGTCTCTAGCGGGGTCCCCAGTGCTTTTGGACAAGAGTTTACCCTTTGCTACTGGGCACAGATCTTTGTTGTCCACACTCTTGGTCTCCCTGGCTCCCTAGCTCAGCAGCCACCCTAGAATTCTTAAACAGACAGTAAACTGCCTCAAGAAATCCACACCATTGGCCGTTCGTTCATCCACTCTGGCTGCCCTTACCTCCGCTCCACTCTCCTGTGATCTAAAGTTAGCTTCAAATGAGAAACTGCATGTTAGGTGTGCTTAGGCTCCTCTGTTATAATGTGACTGATCTTTAGGAGACATAGAGTTTTGTTACTTCCCTGGGTGGAGTCTTCCATGAAGGAGTGGTCCTTACCAGTGCCAAACATAAGAACAAGAAGAAATCAAGATTTTTGGAAACAGCCTCAGCCTTGATTCTAGTATATCATAGATCAACATAGAAGGAGAGCAGACGCCTCCAGAGGAAATGGGCCACAGTCCAGCGGTGGGCACTTGCCTCTCATGCACAGCACCCCAGAGCTGAGCAGAACAAAGTACTCCAGCTGTGCTCAAGGCACCAGCTTCTTCTATGGGCAGCAAGTCTGTGGGGGTCACACGTGTGAGTGTAGGGGTCACAAGAGTTGGGCCACAGTAAAAGGTTTAGAACATGTGATCAAACTCTCATTCGAGGTCCAATGCGTGATGAATGTGAGGTGTCTGGCAGCACTCACCCATGTTGTGTCATATGACTTCACCACAGCCTTGGAGCTGGAAGTACACTGCACTCATGGAACATCCTGTGCAACCCAAGGGATGCTGTCAGGAACACCGCCCTCAGAGAGCGCTGCTGCGTGTCAGGAGCTGTGTAGACAGTTTCCTGCTCTTAGATAAACGGTGGTTTGATCACAGAAAACGACGACTTCTAATGATTCCCGACCACCAGTTCTTGGCGTGTGAATACCAATTCACGTATTGGATCATGTTGAATTAGAATGATTTGTTTTTAAAACTGCCATTTAAGTTGTTGATTTGAGCTTCATTTTTTTTAAATTGTTAAGTGAATATTGGCTTGGAATTAAGACATTTCCAGCAATTTCTGAATTGGCCCTATACATATGTCTGCCATCTTGTGCTACATATTTATGCAAAGCAGTATCCTTTGCACTGACAATCATAAAATCAAAATTACAATCAATTCTGAAAAACATTGAAGATGTTCTACATCCTGCTAATATACAGCCAAGATTTAAATCTTTATGTAAAAATAAAAACACACCATACATCCATCTCATTAGAGTGAAATTTGCCTTTGCTTTAATAAATAGAAAAATTATATGTATACCAAAGAATTGTTTTAAAATAAGTTTATGATTTATTGTCAGAAAATGTTCCATCTATATTCCTATTTTAAATACCTATGCTCATGGATGGCATAAAAATTTCGGGAGTGAAGGGATCAGGAATGGGAAAAGTTTAAGGAACCCTGCTCAAGGCAATGAGAAGGGCACCCAGAATCTGGGCAGGGAGCAGATGACTTTGTCAGCAGCACCCCAAGGCTGGACTCTGAGGTAGAATCACTAGGTAGCCAACTAGAATTTGCTCTGTGTGGTTTTAAGTCTCTGACATTGTTACTTGAAAGGGATTGTGCCGATCACAGCCCCCCTCCACTGTGCCACTATGGATAAAAGGACAGTCTATGAAGAAAAGAAGACATCCGCCTCCACACCTCACTCCTAGCCAGCATGATGCTCACAACAGCTGATGAGAGATGCCAGGGCAACGTGAACTTTGAAGAGGCCAAAGGCACCTATGGGGGGCTGCTCTCTCCTAATTTCACTGACATGGGGCAGGTCCTCCCTCTCTCCTGCCTTTTTATTCAGTCTGTTTCTGTCTCCATGGCTACCTTTCTTCCACATATTAGTATGTTGTAGACTGTCTTTCCTAGAGCCTGTCCTTAAACCATCTTTCTCTCTTCTCGCTCTCCCTGCACTCACATGAAACGTTTCTGTCTAGAAAATATCCTGTTCTAGGATTCTTCTCTATGTCCAGGCTGCCGTGTCTGCTCTGCCGTTCTCTACTGGAACTGCTCTCACAGAGATCCCAGTGTACATCCCAGTGAACACAGGCAATGCTGTTTTTAGTTTTTATTTTTGTTGACTTTTCTGGAACATTTGATGCTAAACCCTCTATTGTTGACATTTCCCCAGTCCTGCCAAGGTTCTGGGCCTGACTAGACCACACATCAGCTTTACTATATTACATCTGAACACCACAGATCTATTTTCCTAGACTCCATATATCATTCAGAAGTATTCAACCCGCATGGTAGCCTCATTGAAAAAGTCAGCATCAATAGCCTCCTCCTGCATCTGTTGCTCCATTTAACCACTGAGGCATTAAAAATCAGCCTAGAAATGTCTCGAAAGCCCGTTCCCTCCAGAATGGGCTATTCACGGTGTCATCACCCTTCACTCTGACTTCTGCAGTTGCCTCCTAACCGTGTCTGCCCTGTTCCCTTCTAGCATCAAGCGATTTCTCCAACTGCAACAGAATGATTCTGGGGAGAGCGGGGGACGCCACTGTTCAAAGTCTCCAACAGTTTTACTTCAAGCAAACCATTTTCTTATGGATAGTCAGGTTTCTTTCTAGCATAATCTCCTGCTTCAATGTACTTAACAGTTGCACTCTATCCTTGTGAGAAAGCCAGGTCTTGTCACCTTCGGCCTGTGGTGGCTGCTAGGTGTAGAATTCTTTTTTTCTCTCGCCGTTAGAAGCAGTAGACATCCTTCAGGAAGCCTAAATGTTTCTTCCTTTTATAGTATATTTTAATACCAAAAATATAATTAATTACTCTTCCAAGTCCCTTGAAGCGCTAAGTACATACTTCCACAATGGCTCTCATCAAAATATACCTCCTTCATTTATTTATGAATCCTTTCCCCATATGAGTTAGCTCCACTTAAGGCTTTTTCTCCACACTGTTAGTCAGCCCTTGACATCTCATAGGATTTACCCTCAGACTGCAGCAACCCAGGCTCTGACAGACCACAGATTGTTAGTAAATTTGTAGGTTTTAATTAATGACTATCATTGTTCCTCTACTCATAAACTCTTAACCCTTCCCTTGTTTCCTAAGGCCTCTTCCTTGGATATGTTGAGTTTCTATAAACTCTATACATTATGCTTATTTCTATCTTTTCTTTATTTATCCCATGCAAACAAACTCCTTCATGTAGCTACTATCTGTACTTTGTAAAAGTGACTATTTGATTCTATGGAGGAAGGTCATGAGAAGTTTGGAATAGAAAGTTTATCTATTGTCCACTGTGTATATATTAACAATTCCATTAAAGATAAATTAATGGAGCAGTTCAGGCCTCACTATAGGGCATTAAAAATCCTGACCTATATTTAAGAGTAGGATATAGAAAAGCCCCACCAGACCAAACACATCACCCCTCCAGCTTGGCACACTACCCAACTCCATAATTAGAAATTCCCAGCCAAACAATATACAACACAAGAGGGGATGAAATCTCCATAAAGCTGCTGTTAAAATGAACAAATTACCTGGCAAAGGGAAGCTTCCCTAGACACTTACACATATTAGAAAAAAACCAGCCAAACTCTGCCTTGTTCATGATGGAAGAGGTACCTGGAGCCCCTGTGGGGCACAAAGGTTAGCTTAATCATGTCACACAAAGGCAGGCCCACACCATACACTCTACCCTCTACGGGACTTAGGAAGGGACACAGGGAAGGAAGGGGAGGGGCTTGGGGAGAATGAGAAGATTAAGAGTCACATGCTACGGCTCTATAATCTGGTTTGGTGACAGTCAAGAGACAGAGAAACACAAAAGGAAGCCAGGCCTGTGTGAGCTAGGCTCAGAGGAAGTGATGGAACTGGCTTGCTACATTGGGGTCAGAGGTCACAGTGGGGAAGCTGACAGCACAAGCCACAGTATATCTTAGTTTCAGTCTTCATCTGAGTCCGTACAAATGGTCCTTATCTTACGTAAGTGGTGTTAAGGCACTGCAGGGCGGTAGCCTCAAACGATCATACGAATCATTGAGTTCATATGTTATCGTATGAATCATGGACCTTGAGCTAGAGTGGGGTGAAGGGAACCTCCCCTGCTCTGCTGTGTGTCACTGGAATGCATTGCCCATGGAGCTTTGGAATTTCCTTTACATGAGAACCTTGAGAACTGGGAAGGCAATTATCCCCCAGGGTGGTAGGCAGTTCCAGCCCCAGGGCAAAGGTCATACTGAAGGACTCTGGGCTGACCTGCTGGTTCTGGGTGTTCAATCCCTGAGGTTTCGACTCTATAATTGAAGTCAAATTAGATGTCGTACACCACCAGCAGCCCCCAGTCCCCACCCCATTTTTCCCAGTCTACTTTAGTGGAATTACTGTTGGGTGTGATGCAGTAAAATGGTTTGCCTTCTTCCAAACGCACACTTCTCTCCTGTGGGGTTTTGGGGTCTTGAAACCAAATATCCTGTCGCCATGGATTTCCAGGGTCCGAGTTCTAACTGTTCACTTGACTGGCCCATTTCCCCTGCCTTGTAAAGTAGGTTCCCGTTCTCTCTGTGTCATTAAGCCAGAGATCCCAGGTTACTTGGTCAATTATAAATGCCCTTTTCCTGATATAGTAACTTCTTTGATGCTGTGTGCTCGCTGTGTTTGTGATAATCAGGAGCGCTCAGGAGTGTGGCACAGTGCTAGAGCAACACAATCAAAGCATGGGAAGCGATTGCCTTCAGTCTTCAGCTCTGGTACTTTCAGGTTTCAACCTATGTTGCATCCAAAATAAAGCTGTTTTCCCTTCCATATTCTGCAGTATTAAACTGAGCCTTCTTGCCTCCACAGAAGCACACACTGAACCAGCTCTACATT